AAACCTCAATCTCGCGGCGCATCACAGAGAAATCGTAGAAACGTTTGCTACCTTGGTGAAGAAACTCTCCCCATTCGTCATCGGAACCACCATCGGAACGAGGTTTGGTCTGAATAAGCTGGAGAAGGAGAGGACGGCGAGTGCAGATATCATTACCGCGAGGGAGAAAATCGCGGCCGACGAGTGCTTCGAGGACGCTGGATTTACCGCTGCTCTGACTTCCGACGACAGCGACTTGCGGAAGCTGGATCGTGGATTGGCTTCCTAGCTGAGCGAATATGTCCTGAAGCTTGTTCACAATCGGAATCACGGAGGAGCCTAGTGGTGCTCCGGCGGCGGAGGTGGACGACGGAGGGATATCGGTAACTGACATTGATGATGTGGTGATCGAAGGTCGAAGTAGAATTGTCAAAAAAAGGGCTTTTAGGGGTTTGGGAAGATTTTGGTGCAGAGGAGATTAAAGAGCTCTCCATATTCGGATACTTCACCGCCACTACCGAATATTTCGGGCTGAGTCAGATCGGTTTTGGTGATAACCGTTCAATTGTGAAAAATTCGTCGTACCTCTTTTTTTTTTTTCGTCAAAGGATGTGAATTTCATTAAACCGGAGAAGAATCGGTACAATTTGGTTCACGGTACAGTGCTCCTTCGGCTTAGCCATCGGCCACAGTGTTTTTGTCCCTAGTGATAAACACAAAGGAAGAACAATTGAGATCTACAGACATGGAAACAATATCATGTAGAATTCCACAGAGATCAAGGTAAGAGCTCCTTGAATTGATGAGATTGATAAGTTGCTTTGAGTCCGATGCTACGCTTTGGATCTGGAGTCCTCGATTTATCGCCTGGAAGAGGACCTCGCGAACGGCTAGAGCTTCAGCCATCAACGGGTTTGCAATCCGGGAACATCTCTTTGAGCCACAGATAAAGGTTGTGTTGTGTTGATCGGTGATAATCCAATCCAATCCAGCTTCGTTTGTGTCAGATCTCCAAGCTGCA